TTGGTAAAGGGTGGAAGACTCGGCCTTATGCCTGGTGTTTTGTTCCACTCTTGCCACCCTAGTTTCCGTCATACCGGTGTTATGTTCCCGGGTTTTCCGTCCCTAACGCGGTTGGGTGATTTATGGGACCCCCTTGACAGTTCGCTTTGAATAAAACTCCTCCAGCAAGGCCCAACCTTGGTTTTACCATTTGCCTCACCTAGCCCTTTTTCCCTTGGGTTTCAGGAGCCCGAGGGTCATCTTTATTTACCTCCCCGGGCCAGTGCTCCTCCGAGTGTTGGTCCAACCTGAGCGATGTCCGGCGCCCCCTGGGCAACCAGGGTCTATGCCAACCCAACGTCTGGCTCATCCGGTGTGCCCTGAGAACGAGATATGTGCAGCTCCTATCGGGATTTGTCGGCACATCGGGCGGCTTTGATGGTCTTGTTTTACCATTGTCGAAATGTCTTGTAAACCGGGATTCCGAGACTGATCGGGTCTTCCTGGGAGAAGGTATATCCTTCGTTAATCGCGAGAGCTTATCATGGGCTAAGTTGGGACACCCCTGCAGGATATAAACTTTCGAGAGCCGTGCCCACGGTTATGTGGCAGATGGGAATTTGTTAATGTCCGGTTGTAGATAACTTGACACTTGAATTAATTAAAACGCATCAACCGTGTGTGTGTAGTCGTGATGGTCTCTTTTCGGCGGAGTCCGGGAAGTGAACACGGTTTTGGGTTATGTTTGACGTAAGCAGGAGTTCAGGATCACTTCTTGATCATTGCTAGTTTCACGACCGTTCCGTTTGCTCTCTTCTCGCTCTTATTTGCGTATGTTAGCCACCATATATGCTTAGTCGCTGCTGCAACCTCACCACTTTACCCCTTCCTTACCCATTAAGCTTTTCTAGTCTTGATACCCATGGTAATGGGATCGCTGAGTCCTCGTGGCTCACAGATTACTACAACAACAGTTGCAGGTATAGGTTTTGCGATGATCATGACGTGAGAGCGATGTTTTCTTGTTTTGGAGTTCTTCTTCTACTTCTTCTTCGATCAAGGGATAGGTTTCAGGTCGGCAGCCTGGGCTAGCAGGGTGGATGTCATTTGAGTTTCTGTTTGTGTTTCATCCATAGTCGGATGGTGCTCTTATGTAAGATGATGTTGTATTCGTGTGGCAATGTATGCCTTTTGTATGTATCCCCATCTATTATGTAATGTTGATGTAATGATATCCACCTTGCAAAAGCGTCTTCAAGATGCGCTTATATCCTTGGTGGGACCTTCGAGTTCCTTTAGGATAGGGTCGCATCTTGGGCGTGGTAAAGGGGCCTTCTAAAATGCTACGGTGTTTGAGGAAACTGTTTGGCTAGGGCTAATCACGCGTTGAGCCACCGGAGCCAATCAAGAGGCATAGGCTTTCACATATATCTTGAAAGGCACGTTGATCAGCGTGATTGGCCTAAAAAGTTTGATGTCATCGGCCCCTTTCACCTTAGGGATCAAGCTAATGGCCCCGTAGTTAAGGCGCGAAAGGTCTACCGTACCTAACGCAAACCCATTCACGATCTTGTAGAAAAGATGCTTGATTTGGGGCCAAAATTCCTTGAAAAATTCCACCGGCCATCTGTCCTGACACGGAGCTGTGTCGGTTTTCATGTCATGAAGAGCTTTTGTCGGTTTCTTCCGGAAGGAAGGAGAGAATGAGCCCTTCGTTCTCCTCCTGCGAAACCCGTTCCGTTGGGTCCCATAGGTCCTCACAGAGGCACAGAGCTTTTTCTTCGGCCGTCCCCAAAAGGCCTATGAAAAACTCATAAATGTGAGACACCATGAGATCATTGGTTAACAGGAGGCCGTTGTCAGATTGAAGCCGTAGGATAGTACTCGTGCATTTTCTACCGTTGGCAAAAGCATGGAAGTACCCCGTGTTAGCATCTCCTTTAGTAACCCACTTGATGTCGCCCCTACGACGCTAGTATTCCTCCTCCGCGCGCAGAATGGCCAGGACCTTGTTTTCTAAATCGTATCTATGGGCCCATTCGCCCTCCGAGAAAGTCCGGCGATCTACCTCCAAATCAAGCGCAGCGATTGCCTCTACAATCCTAGCCCGCTCCTTTTTGTTTTCACTGTCGTGGTTCGCACCCCACCTATGCAGGAAAGCCCAGAGCTTGCTAACTGCCGCGGTCCAACACTCTGCCGGTCCACGTTGTGGCCCGAGCTGAGTGCAGATCGTAGCCCAACGATCAGCGACCAACTGCGCAAACCCCTCAGATTCGAACCACGCCATTTCAAGGTAAAATCTAGAGCTACGACGAACGAAATCTTCCCTTGAGGAGAAGATCAACGGGACGTGATCGGATCCAATACGCGTTTCGGCTACAAGCGTACACAGGGGAAAAATCACCTCCCACTCAGGAGTAAAGAAAACCCAATCTAGCATGCTCTGGACCGGATGTAATTGTTTGTTCGTCCAAGTGTATCTAGCCCCGGTCCTCGCAGACTCCCACAAAGCCGCCGACGCAATGGAGCTATTGAACATGGACACTCGAGTCCAGTCAATGTTGGCATTGTTCTTGTCCGCCCCCGAGCGGATAAGATTAAAATCTCCACCCACCAATAGCGGAAAGTTGCAAGCTCGTTTGGCCCCGACCAAGTTGGTAAGCTCAAGCAAGAATTCCATTGATCGAGAGTGGTCCGCAGGTCCATACACGCAAACTACTACCCATGATAAACCAGAGGCACGATGTTTAATAGTAACCGCAAGCGAAAATACACCCATATCCCAATGCAATACATCACGATTACAACCCAAAAGAATGCCGCCCGAGTGGCCCCTCGAAGGCACCCAATTCCAGATGAAGCGTTGCAAGGGATCAAAAGCAAGTAGGTCGCGGTAAGAGAAATTGGTTTTAATCATTTCCTGGAGAGAAACCACATCGATCTGCTCCTTGGCCATATATTCCTTGAGTTGGGTTCGACGCCTTCCGTGGCCCCAACCACGGCTGTTCCAAAACATGTAACGCATCTAGATGATCCGATTACGCAGGCACACCCCCCTAGAGGTCACCGCCTTAGCCACACGCTTCCGTGCCGAAATCCGGCTGGAAGAAGGTAGATCAGAGGCCTCCCTATCCTCTGTCCCCTCAGCGGGTCCCGCCTCGTCCCCAGCCCGTACTGGTACGATGGCCAGTTGATTCGTAACAGCACCACGGGCAGCCGCATCCGCGAGCATGGCCTGCGCTTCTTCCCGTGCACGAACCAAAGAGATGATATCTCCATAAGGAGCACCAATCGCAACCCCGCTATCATCTAAGATGCTGGCAAGATGTTCATCCGAAAAAGCATTCAAAATACGAGAGGAGGGTAAGGGATTACCTGACGATTCCAGAATCTTGTCCGCGAGCCGAAGCTTGGCGCTCTCCAGGGAGGACAGCTCACCCAGCTTAGCCTTGGCCCGAGCGCTGGGAGCCCGATGCACCACCGGAGTTGCCTTGGAGCGCCTGGCCTTGCTGCTCGCCTCGACCGGTCCCAACGCCGCCCCCAGTTCGCCCCCAAGAGTCTCCGCCACCGTTGCCTCAGATGAAACTTGCTTGCCGGTTGGCTTCCTGTCCGCCGTCTTCTTGGCCTGGCGGCCCGCGCTGTTGGAACCACGCTTGGTGGCTGGAGTCAAGTCGCAGTCAACCACACACCCTGTGTCTATCCCAGGCACCACCACCAAGGCAGACGACACGTTAGCAGCAGGAGTGGCCCCGACCAACTCGAGCGGCCCGGCTTTCACCATGAGCTGGGTCGGCAGATTAGATCCATACTCATCGAAAGACAGCGCGAGGGAGCGGGCCAACAGAGGAACACTCACTGCCGTGTCCTGGTTAGCCACCCCCATGGCCCCAGTGTCAGCCGAGATAGCACCCAGCTTATCCCAAGTCTCCGTGTCAATGAAAGTATCCAGCGGGCTGTCCTCGCAGTCCTCCGCAGCGTCCTGCATCTTGGTGTCACCTCCAGAAGCCGCCATGGTAGATCCACCCACGCCCTGATGCCCATTGCATGTGGCTGCACCGACTGGCCGCGAGCCGCCCGACGGTCGGCCACCCCCCGCGACATCAGGATCTTTGGGTGGGGGGGTGGAAGGGCCAGCGCCAGGCGCCACCCGCTTGCCACCGCGTTTGGGCAGCACCTCCCTTTCCACCTTGATTTGGTAGCCTTCATGATTAAACCAAACTTCCACAAACCCATTCAGTTTCTCCGGAGCTTTACACGCAATCTTCATCCTCACTGGCCCCATCCTGATGAGGGACAACTCATCCACCACAATGGGTCGACCAAGCATTCGGAACCCTTTCTTGATGCAGTCCTCACACATGTGTTTCTTAGGGATGCCCTGCAGCCGCACACTGGTTTCGGGCATGACCATCGGAGGCACCTCCTCGTGCAAGATATCACGCACAGTGGCAGTAGTGTCATTGATAAACAAGAAAAGTTTTCCACTCGACTTCGCCATGTGTAACAGATCCGCAGAAGGGAAGACCACCACGAAATCGTTGTCACCAACCTGAGTCACTTGCCAATCCCAGTCCCCGGTCACCATGTGTTGCAGCTCTTGCTTGAGGATGCGCAGATTGAGCCTCCCAGGCTCAGCGGCAAGAATGGCCGCGTTCTCGATCCGCACATCCACTGGCAGTTCGGCTTCGTCTTCGTCGTCAAACTCCAGACAAAAGAAACCCTCACCGGAGATCGCACTGCCCATAATTTGCAGCTGCAGCTGACGGCCGCACGTCGGACAGTGGGCAGAAGCGTGGCCCTCTTCTTTGCACAGCACGCAGAAGGGCTTAAACTTGCACTTGCACTTGGACTTGGACAGCACGCAGAGTTAGTGCTCTTAGCAAAGATTTGTCTCAAAAGGCGGTGGTTTTTTCTCATCTTAGGAAATTACAAAGCTAAATACACAAAACGAGATGCACTGTCAGTGTTACACGACTGACTGACGTATAGCCGGCAGGTCCGCTCTGAATCCATGGATTCATTCACAGCCAGCTATCCGGGAGTCCGATGTTCTGGAACCTAAAGGACGAGCCCTTGCCCCCCTTGCCGGCCGCGATCTCCGGCCCGTCGCCATCGATCTCCTCCTCGTCGCCTTCGGAGGACAGCATGAGCAGCGGCCCCCGCGCCGGCGCCGGTGGCGGGGGCAGGGCGAGGACGCCCTCATCCCACGTGAGGAAGTGCAGCGTGATGGGGCGGAGCGCGTGGCGGTGCAGCGAAAGCTTCTGGCTCAGCGACACGGTGTCGTAGCACCTGACGTCGCCGGCGGTGGAGACCATCCACGGCAGCACCTTCTCCCCTCCCACCCTCGACACCACCAGCAGCCTGCCCGCCCGCCTCGCCGCCCGGTGCAGCTCGAGCAGCCCGGACCGCGTGGACGCCACGCCGGGCGTGCTCTCGTCCGCCACCGACGACACATAGATGAAGCCTTCCTCGGTCCGGCTGATGGCGAAACCGAGCCTGGTGTCCCCCTGCCGCAGCGCGATCTCCACCGCCATCTCGCCGCCGGGGCCCGACGGCGCGTACCATAGCCGCACCGCGCGCACCACGCCGATGTCCACGCCGTGGTAGTCCTCGAACCCGTACAGGCTGACGTTGGACATGTTGGCCAGGTCGGACAGGGAGCCCATGTTCACCGTGGACACCGCCGTCTCGCCGGAGATCTTGGTGAGCAGCGCCTCCGTCTGGACGCTGGCGAGCTCGACGGGGACGCCGGAGGCGCGGGACGAGGCGAGCCAGGCGTCGGCGCGGGCGAGGGTGTCGTCCAGCGTGTTGTAGCGGGTGTGGGTGCCGTCCGTGGCCTTGGGGAGCAGCAGCAGCGAGAGGAATCGGCTCGATTCCGGCACCGGCAGCAGCTCCTTCATCTTCTTCTCCCACGGGAACGTCTCGTACGCCGGCGCGATCTTCCAGTCCCGCAGCGCCGCCAGCATCTTGTCGTTCTTGGAACCTTCAGTTCACGTCATCAAATCTTTCCAAAGTTAATTTAAGTTGCACCGCAATTTACTTTCATCTCATGTGCGAATGTTTCACCAAAAGTTAATCCGATCCAAACGCTCAACTATTGAACAGCGTAAATGTGACAGAAGAATGTGAGGTGACAGATAAAACCAGCTGCCCAAATGGACCCAGATTTGAACAAGTATTGTGGTATTTATTTAACAAACAATCAGTAGTTTACTGGAGCAGATGCAATGTTGGTATTTGGTTCTCTGGCCTTCACAAGTGATCTGTCAAGCTGCCATATGCTTGCAAGTGGCATTTTAATTTGAATTCTGAGCTGCAAACGTTGCAGCAAGCATGGAAGATCGTGACGACGTGTTGGAGATCTGCGAGGATTCGTAAACAAAATCATGTTGACACAAATATAATTGTGTTGGGCTAGGGACCCTTTCGTCATGTCCCCCCGGCCTCACTGGCTTTGGAGGGGCAGCAAGAACTTGAGTGGTCTCTTAAGTTGCAACTTTTTGCGAGAGCTATACACAAGGAAGGAGTTTGGTTTCTGACAACGTCTTGTGATTGCCATGCCCATTTCTTGGCTCCTCGTTTGGAAGCGGAGAAGGAGCTGTTGCCTAATGTTCACTGGAAATTACTATGATAAAAATTCGTAGCCACGTTGGAAAGACGAAATTTCGTAATTTTTTTAAAAAAGAACTAGGCCAGTGAAACATACACAAAAATCAGGAGAGTCCTGAAATCAGCCTATACTTTCAGGTCAGGGCCAGGAAAAACCGTCGAAAATTTCAATGAGAACAAAATGGTTTTATGCATTTCCCCCGCAAAAAAAGAAAGAAAGTCGGTGCCTTCGGCTACGCCCCGCTTAAATTGGAGCAAACGTAAGTGATCTCACGAGCAATGCATACATTGGCACGTTCTGATGCAGAGGCCGGGAAGCTGTGCACATTTTTACCCGGATGCGCGCTGTGCAAAAAGCAGAGCAAAATGGACAATGGAAGGGAGACGGCTCGTTTCACCTTCAGCGTCGAGCTCGACGCTCTCGCGGCTGGACCGATCGCCGACGTCGTCGCCTCGGGTGACACGCCTCCCCGACGACGTCCGCCCGCTGCCCGAGCCAGACCCCCTGGACGCGGACGGGCTGAGCTCCGGCTCCTCCCCGGCCGCCTGGGCCGGGGAGTCGCCGCGCTTGAAGGCCGACTTGAGCAGCTTCTGCATCTTGCCGCCGTTGTTCCTGCCGGTCGGCGCCGGCGAGAGGGCGGCGTCGCTGGGCATGGCTCCTCCCGGCGGTGGCGCGCGATGGAAGATGGGGCAGCGCTACGTCTGGTACAGAGCTACCGGCGCGGTATGGGATCACGGGGTTGGTTCCATGCGCGCACGACTTAACATCCCTTCGTCGCGGTACCATTGGCCGCCGCAGCCAGCAACTGGCCATTTTTGTATGCTGGGAGGAGGAGCCTCCGTCGCAGAAACCGAAACCAGAGCCCCGGACATGCCAGGGGAAAATCCAAATGAATTCTCCGGCAAGGCGTCATTGGTTCACCAGGATTTTCTTATTTGATTTGTAGGGTTTGAGATCTGGTTATTTTTTCCCGTGGTCCGCTATGCACGCAGTTGATTGATTTTAAAAGGAAAAATGTTCGGTGAACCACTAACCTCTTCAGAAAAGTTCCTATGTCTCATTAGTTTTTCTGTTGTTATATATGTGGTGTATCAAACATACTGTCCTTTTGATTTCAAGTAGTTTTGAATCCACACAGATCAACAGAGCATACTGCTGCCATCCTGCATTTTCTGAATTCATGCGAATCAAAGAGGTTGTGACATGTGGCTTTGGAGCGTCGAATATTTTCAACCGGCAAATCATTCTCACCTCTCCGAAAACAGAGAAAATTTTGTTTGCGTTTTCAATTTTTTTATTTGATGCACTGTAAAATTATCGGCTCCTTTTTTTGTTGTCAGTGCTGACATTTTCTTACATTCGAATCTATAGGATTAACTAGATCCTTGTTTGATGCACTAATATAATTTGAAACTCCTCCTGTTGGGTCAAATGCTGACATATGTTCGAATCTAGGGGATTAAATACATCTTTGACATGATGCCCTTAACAAGGATTATTTTGTGTATTCCATCTAACTACTCTTGAAAGTCAAAAATCAGGAAGAAGAATAACACGTTGACCAGGAGGATGCAAGCTAAGCCATGGTGCAATGCATCTGGAAACTACAATAATTAAGATGATGCATATAACATAATTTATTTCTTTGTTGGCAGAAAATAATTCAGATGCTGCAGTAACCGGAAATATCGACAGGTAATTTGCTAAAAAATAGTCATATAAAATCTCAGACCCAAATGCAAGGGTGTAAAATCACTAAAATTCAAATGGAGTTAATACAATATAAACCAGATTTAAACAAATTTTAGAACCCACGCTCAATTCAAATCAAATTTCAATTTTGATTTATTTGCCTGGTTACAGGGGTTATTGGCTTATTGCCAGCGTGGAAAGCAGAACCGGTTACTCCCCAAATTTTCCTGCTGAATGTTTTCCTAGTAATCGTTTCTGTTTCTGTAAAAGGGCTATTTTCTCAATGCGTCAAGTGTTTTCCAAACGGTGGTAACCAGTAGTAATACTATCATATCGTGACTAATTATAAAGTACTTATTTCAAGAAAATAATACAGCGTCAGTAACGAGAAATCTCAGTTTCAGGAGGGACCAGCACAGCTAACATGTTTTTGTAATGCTGATATTAGAGAAACGATGAATTCTGGCGCCAGAATTCTGCACAGCTAAGCTACCTTGAGATCTCCAAACAAAGAACTTTGCTTTGGTATTCAAGGCCAAGAAAACTTTCTTTGACCTCCCTGATTGTGCCCAAAAACATTTCCTTGGTTTGCGTGTATCGCTTCGGTATCAAGTTTGCATTGCACAAAGAAAAGCAAAAAAATCCTCCGGCTATCTGGTTTGGCAAGCTGAATCATCTCTGATCTCAGTCATTTTGCACCACAGATGTTTCATTTGCATAGTGAAAACAAAGAGAGGAGAAACTAAAGCAAAGTAGAGGGAAGTGGACAACCAAATGAATTACCTTTAGTCGGACTCGTAGGCGATCCGTTCTTCAGCTTCGGCACGCTCTTCGATCGCTTCAGCTTCCAATCCATGCCGACGTGGATTCAACTTCTGGGAGAAGAATCTGAACTCAGGGCTCCTGTGTCCCCTCTTATGAGTGAGCAGCCATTTTTAGCTATGATCCTATAGATAATCACAAAAGGGTTTTGTAACAACAGACATGCCTTTTGGGTTGTAGAAGCCTCCCCTCAACTGATGAAATTGCTCTGGCAGTTCCTTAGTCTGTTGAAGTATTGGTGCATCTGATTTTACCAAGAATGAAAGGCGCCACAAAGTGCCAGTTTTTCTTGTTCCAGTGCTGATCTTATTCCTAGAAGCTGCCAAGAGCAAAGTGTCATTTCTTCCAATGCAATTGGCTTGTCTTTTCCTAAAGCTTGGAGCTTCTATGGTGTTCCATTTCCCGACATAATGTCGCTGTAAGATGGTGATTCAATAAAAATATGTTATGCAAAATTTGTTATTTCGCAATCATGCAAGAACAATGATGGAGACAGGATGGTGCACAAAACTGTTCCACACTATAGCAGGCCTAGATTTGAACTTCTCAAACTTCAAAAGCTGCAATGCAGACTATTGGTTAGGTCCATACTTCCATGATCTAATTGCTTTAGAGTTGTAGTTTACAGTCTGTTCCTCCAAACATGAAATTTACCAGGTAAGGCTATCTGATGTAGGAGTGTTCAACCGGCACAGAGAAATTTACATACTTAGCAAACAGAGATATAATTATTTCAAAAGGAGGTCTTCATTTCGCTTGTGTAAAAATTGGACGTCTAGTTTTGAAGCTTTTGAAACAACACAGCTGCAGTCACTGTGGATTTGGAACAGACAATCCACACCGTCCATGAATACAGCTAATTTCAAGTGTTGCTCCAACCAGTGATACGATACTGATAATACCAATATGTTACGAACAGTATCACCGGTATCTGCGTTTGATATTGGAAACGTATGGCAGATGGGAGTGAATATTGCAATGCTGTATCAAGCAGTCTCATTGGCCTTAGGGAATTGGAAGTGTTGAATTGTTCTGCACTCCTCAAGGAAACACACCTAAAAAAATGAGGAACCAGTGTCCGGTGCCGAGTGTAATACTATATTCGATTGTAAAGTGCAGCAGTAGTATGAATTATGAAGTTACCTAGGATTTTGCCTTGGAAGTGCAGACCGAGGCAAGATCCCTCATGGTACTGATGGAATCACTGAATATTCCTCTCTCCTTTTGTAAACTATAGCTAATTTAAATCATTCTTTAGTTTGGGGTCAGGAAAAGCTGGAAGTGAGCCATCAGCCCCCCGCTCCCCCGCTCCCCCGTTAGGGTTCCCCTCCCGCCGCCGCCGGCCCCCTCGCCTGCCTCCGCCGCCGTCGGCCGCCGGGCGAGCGCCTCCAGGCTCGCCCCGCTGCCCCCCCTCCCCCCTCCCCCCTCTCTCCCCCACCCCCCGCGGCGTGCCCGCGCGCGCCGGGGCGAACCGCTCCTGCTGCG